AATGAACCCAAACAGTGAACTCAGGAGCTGCAGGAAGTTTGTGTAAACTTTAATATACTGTAACTTTTTATACAATTATGTCTGATAATTATTTATCATCATACATACATAAATTGACAAATTCAGGGTTTTCTTCTCACTGATGCTTGAACTGATGCTTTAGTTATATCAGGCTATAGTTTGTGTTCAGGTCTTCACTGTGTCCTTATCTAGTCCAACTGTGTGTATCTTTAAGGTTTTCTTCCACTACTTAAAATCAAGAAGGCCTTAAGAACCCCTGTGAAGCTTTGGCGACCAGGTTGGAAACTACTAGTTTAGTTTATTTGCATAATACAAAGGAAAATGCATTCAAATAGAAGAAAGTAATTATACTTTGCGGGAGAGGAAGGAGGTCTAAAAGGCTTATTCAGAGTCTTCTTCTGTTTTAGCATAATAAAAATTTAAAAAATGGCATTATTATTCAAGGAAAACAAAACAACACAAACAAAAAAGCATAGAACAAAACAAATAAAAGCTACAAGCAGCGATGGAGCAGCGATGGTGCAGCGATGGAGCAGCGATGGAGCAGCGATGGAGCAGCAATGGAGTCTGTGTGTCTGGTGAGGAAGATGAATTCCATAACTGTGGATCTCTAAATGTGATTAAGAATTGATGTGTTGTTGTACGTTAGTTGGGTAAATGGAAATCATTCTTACGTCTAGTTAAATAAGAGTGAATGTACTAAGTAATTCAGTACAGCACTTAAATAAATGTAGATGGTTGCGAGACTTTTAGGTTGCAAACATTGTGCCTTTATTGATAGAAACAGCCAAAGATTGACAGGAAAGGGGGACAGAGAGAGAAGGGATGACACGCAGCAAAGAGCCGCAGGTTGGATTCAAAGCCAGGCCGCTGCAGCAAGGACTCAGCCATAGTACATGGGTCGCCAGCTCTACCGACTGAGCTAACCGGGCACCCGCAAACATTATTTTCGTTAAGTTGTGTTGACATAAATAAAGTGGAAAAACTAGTTGGAACAAGTTACTTTTATGAGTTGCCTAATCTACTTAAAAACTTGTGCTTATGCTACAAATTATTTAGTAAGTGGTAATTAAAAACAACTTTGATTGTAGAGGAAAAGCTCATTCCTCTAACTCAATGTAGTTCTCATGCAAACTGTATTTTTAACCAAACCAATTTATGTCAGTGTCAGAAGATAAAATACTGCTACTGATATGTACAATTTATATGTATATTTGAAGGAGTTTTATGAAGAAATCAGTTCAGATTACAAGATTTTTATGCAAATTGTGTCAGAACGTCAACCGAACCAACCAAACAACACATCGGTCAGTCCCTTGTTTTTTTTTATGAATGCATGTCAGCTTCAGGTATTTTTCCCTCTGTAGGTGTATCTCAAATGTAAATTATGTCAGACTTTCTTAAAATGCTACTGGTTTTATCTAAAAACTAGTTCAGCCATGATCTTTATGCATTTATACATATTCGCAGAGCACTTCTCACTAATCGCTAACGTCCTCTGTGATTATATCTGCCTCATTTGAACCCTTTCAGCAGAGAAAAATGTGTCTGTCTGAGAAATGTTCCTATGAAATTCTTTAGAATAATAATGGCAGCTGTGGCTCAGCAGGTAAAGCGGTCCTCTAATGAACCCCAATTGCTTCTGATGATCAGATGGTAAATGGGCGAATAATAGGAAACTTGTAAAGTGCTTTGGATAAAAGTGCCGTATAAAGTCCATTTAGAGAAAGGCACCAAGTGTGCAAACATTGTATTTACTTTAATATTTGGGTCTGTCAGTAGAACAAATACTATGATGGTAAACAATGTAATGGTAGTCTCTAAAGTAAGTATTATATCAGAAAAAACTTAAAGTATCAAAAGTAAAACTACTAATCGTGCAGTACAATGTTTTACTATTATATGTGCTATTTTGGATTATACTTACAGTGTATTAATGTGTAAATTAAATTTTACTGCTGTAGATGTTTAAAGTCTGTGCTATCTATCTGATCAGCTCATCTGATCAGGAACTTTTTATACAATTCTCTGTATGTTTTATATATATTTGATTTTTTCACAGTCATACAGACTATCTAAGCAAACAATTTCATTTAGTTTTCTTTATTTTGAAATGCCGAGATAAAGGCCTACAAGATAGATTTTTATACGTTTTCTTACACCCCTTAAAATCAAAAAGTCCTCGCACCCGCCCTGTGAAGCTTTGGGGGCCCCTAGTGGGGGTCCCGACCCTCAGGTTGGGAACCACTGCAGACAAGAGGCACATTTCAGAACATGCTCAAACCTGACGATATCTGAAAGTATGTTTTTGTTTAATTTCATGATGTTTAAAATAACGTTCCCGTTCACCACGGCCTAAATAAAGAATGATGAATGCTTCTTCAAACTCACGATAAAAACTGAGTCATATTATTGCACACTCACAGAGAGCCGCTCCACTTTCCTCACAGACGACATGTGCTTCACCATCGTAAGGTCACCGGGCTGCACATTACGCTGAGACCCTGAGTGGTCTGTATAATGAGCACCAGTGATTGGGCAGAACTGAATTGAATAGAAAATTATTTAAGCTAAGTTAAAGCCTAAGTTAGGCTGACGTCTCTGCATCATTCTCAACACGTCCGCAAGTTGAAACCATTAAGAAATAGACAAATCACTCAATTAAAATGGCTCAGTGAGGATTTCTGTTTTGTGTCACGTTTAAATCACACCAACTTCCTCAGGACTCTTATCTCGGCTAATTCCATTAGAGGGTGGACGGGGTGGAAGAGAACTCAATCTAGGAATTATTCCATGTAGGCTAATTCACCTGTCTGGGGCCTGAATGAATGGAGGTAATTTGGCTCAATTGGGAGGAGCGATGGCGAGGGAGGAAGATGGACAGAGTTGGAGGGAAGGGAGAGACGGAGCTGGCCGGAGGGAGGGTGGAGAAAGTCTTTTTCGAATAACAGTGTCAGAGACGACGGAGGAAATAAAGTAGAAAACAATTTCAGATGGCTCTTTGTTATAATGTCCCACTTCGGGTGACGGGGGACGGACAAGGAAAGCATTAGTATGTGGGAGAGAGTAGGAGGGAAGAACATTAACACTGAACATAAAGTCTTTGTGTTGAGTATGCACAGATGTTTCCACAGTTGACACACAGCGAGGTGAGGTCATCAACACTGCCTTAAAGGAGGGATGTATTAAGGTCACCTCGTTTTGGTTATTTATTTTTTTATATATAATTTTTTGGGCATTTTTTGCCATAATTTATATATGAGATTTAAAATATTAATATAGCAGCAAACATTTGTTATGTAGAGGTACAGCAGAGTCTCAGGCAGAGGGAGCCTGTGTTGTATCGCAGCCGACTGAGCAGAGTGACTGAAACTGCTGTTTTTATCATCTACATTGGTGAATTAAGGATTTATTTCCAAACCAGAGTTGGTGATTGTTGGAAACACTAACAGAGACGGTTTAATGAGTTTTATTCTGTTTCTGTTCACTTGAATGAAGTTAAGATGATCTGAAGGTAAAATTAACGTTTTTTGTGTGATAGAGTGATAGTGAATATTACTGTTTGTGTTAAACTAAAGGTCTATCTCTGTAGGGCATCCTTTCCATAATGCTGTCAGACACTGACAATAAACAACCTCGAGCTGTCAGGTGCAGAAACAACTACTGTTAGTGGATGGACATTGATTAGCTAACGTTACATAGCAGCCACAGCAACCCATTTCACAAATATTTTCACATCTAACTCTGTAAATTACAGATTTATTTCGACCAAATCAAAGTTAGTGATTGTCGGAAAGATGAGCAAAGATGGTTTTGGTGAGTTTTATTTAGTTTCTGTCCAATTTGATTTACAATAATCTGGAAGGTTTTGTCAGTGGAGTCTGGTGGCCTATTGTTTTAGTCTAAGATGTGGGTGCTCTAATGCGACATCTAGTGGCGAGTAGAAGTCCTATATAACCTTTAAATAGTTATCTTGTGTAGTCACATCACTAACTGATGGACTATATGTAGAAACCTGCAAGATGTTAGGGAATAAACAACAACTTTTATACATGAATGTTTACACTCCTTCACTGTATTTCCTACCAACAGTCAAATATTTACATTGGCACCAACTTTACCACCTTAGTGTTTCTTCCAGTTTCCATGCTGTATTTACTGTTTATTACACATCCTACTGTGTGCCCATATTTATCTTTCTCCCTGCTGAATTCTATTAATATCTGCAGCTACAACAAGCTAATTTCCCAGAGGGGTCCGATAAAGTTTCATATGTTCGCACTTTCACACTGTACCTCTCTCCGATGTATCCGGCGGTGCACTGGCACTGACCGCTGATGTGGTCACACAGGCCTCCGTTACGACACGTGCACTCCAGAGAGCAGTTAATGCCGAACGATCCGAAGGAACACGGCTGCGCGCACACCGGACCCTGAGGAGGAAGAGCACGTGATCATCATGTTTACACACACATCCACATTAACAAAGTGTTAATTCATTAACCTTTAAACACACATATTCTTGACTGTCATTATTATTGACTGGAGGGGCATAAGTGGGGCAGTGCCTTATGCATTAAGTATGTGTCTACATTTTTTTGTCATTCCCAATTTATACAATTCCAATACTGTTTATGGACCCCAGTCTGCCGAAATATTCAAATAAACTAATACCAATCACCATAATCAAATAACACATTTATACCACAAAAACTGCATGGGATTAGCATAAAGTGGGTGTGTTTGTAAAGGGGAGACTCGTTGGTACCCATAAGACCTATTTTCATTCAGATACTTTGAGGTCAGAGGTCAATGGATCCCCCCATGCCAGTTTTTTCATCGTCAAAATTTTGCCTAACCTTTTAGCATCAATTGTTAGCTAGCTAGTTAGCAAGCTATCATTGTATCATCATCATTGTTTATATCATTGTTTTCTGTTTTAATATGTTCTCTTTAAAATACCAATGTATTGGTAATTGACTTCTTGTTTGAAGTTTGAATTTTTACTTAAAAAGGGATACACACAAGGACTTAAGTCCATTATGCAAATGTGCCAGATTTAGCCATACAGGCTAATTTTCATCTGCAGTCCCTGGAAGGTTGATGGCATATCTGAAAGCACATAAACTGAGTTTATTTGTGCCATAGGTCCTAAAAGTATCACACACTATCGGGGGGGTATGGACATAGACTCAGATATCCTCATCTGCTCTGTCTACTTTAGTTTTACACGATATGAAATTAACTGTACCTTTCCTAAAATAATAACCTTCTGTTATGTTTTGGTTAGATGACATTAATTACATAACTAATAATGTTTTGAATAGAAATAAGTTAACAGCATTATGATGGTCGTTCTTTACAGCAGTTGTTGCCCCAGTCTGTAGTCCTTTTGTGTTAAAATATGTAGAATGAGAGAAACTTCTTATTCTATCTGTGTTTTAGGTTTTCCTCACACAATTAGCTGTTTAAAAACTTTACCTAAATACTCTCAAGGGTGTTTAAATTAAATAAAAAATATGGTTCAGATCAGGAAAATCAAACATCTATAGAGAATAAGTGGATAAAACAGCTTTATGTACACAGGTATCAAATCCTGAACTGTAACTTTCAGCAAGTAGTTTGTCGGTAAAATATGCTCATCATTTGTTTGCTGTTTGTTCTAATTTTTTGGGGGGTTTTATTGCCTTTATTATAGTGACAGCTGAAGACAGACAGGAAAGGGGGGCAG